GCTGCCACCAGGATGTCCCCTGTGGGCCCAGGAGGGAGAGCGGGGTGGGGTGCTGCGGTGGGGCCCGCCGTGGAGGGTGCGGGCTGGGCTCTGCTCCTCCTCTCCCAGGGCCCCTCTCTTATCTGACCCGAGCTCATCAGTCAGTCTGTTTCCGGTCAGAGCAGGTCCCTGCCTTTAGGCCACAGAAGAGCTTATCAAGACCCCATCTTTTACCATCTCTGGACGTTTGTTCCAGAGCTGCTTTGCGCAAACCCTCACGTTTGTGGGCGTGGTGGGTGGCCGCGGCACGAAAAGGCCTGGATGGGGCACCCAGTGCCCTTGTGATCTGGGGTCTCTGAGCCCCTCTCCGGGGAGCCCGTCTAAGGCGAGACGGTGAGGCTCACGAGGGAAGCACATGGAGAGTCTGTTCTGGGCAGTCGCTCGGCCTGTGGGCAAGGCCACACCCAAGGCAGGGCACGGAGTGGGGGTGGCAGGGGGGTTGGTGTGGAAACCAGTTGTTCCCTAAGGACGTGCGGTGTGACTGTAAGGAGCTGTCCCTCTCTGGGGGCCAGGGGCGGCGGTGAGGTCTGGGAGGGGCGGGCGACCCCCGGCCCCTGAGAGGCACACGGAGGGTGGTGCAGACGGGCGCGGGGGCCGGGCTCCCAGATGTGGCCCAGAGCTCACAGCGCTGGCGCCTCCGCAGGCTGGGAGCCTCCGGGCGTGGGTAGATGCTGAGCAGGAGGAAGAAATAGCCAACAGGATGGGTACTGTCCAGGACGTGGGTGAGCCGTGCCACCCAGCTGCTCCGTCGCAGCCTCCAGAACCGAAACAAATGGGCTTTCTTGGCCACCGAGTCAGCGGTCAGGAGAGGGGCTGGGGTTAGCTTTGAGAGGGTTTGTGGGAGCCGAGACTGAGAACAGCAGGTAGTCTGTACAGCCCGCCTTGCGCACGGCCAACCCAGATTCCGTCCCAGCCTCCCATTTGGTCCCCTGAGCACCACCAGGAGTAATTCCTGAGTGCAGAGTCAGGAGTAACCCCCTAGCACTGCTGAGTGGCCCAAAAAGAGGGAGGGGGAGGGGGAGGAGAGAGAGAGAGAGTGAGAGAGAGACAGAGACAGAGAGGACAGAGAGACAGAGAGAGACAGAGACATAGACAGGGACAGAGAGACAGACAGAGACAGAGACAGAGAGGGTTTCCTTAGATGGGAGAAAGCAGGGTGTGGTTTGGAAAGATGGGGGCATTGGGGATATGAGGAGACAGGGCAGAAATGTGGGGAACTCAGCGTCCGTCTCTCCCGTGCAGACCCATCGCCCCTGCTGGGCAGGTGGAGTTCCCTGGAGGGGGCACCAACCTCTCAGGTCTGATCTGGGAAAGCCAGCAGTGGAGTAGTTGTTGGGGCGAAAGGCAAAACTGTGGCCTCAGTGTTCTGTCTGTGAAATGGGAATGTCTGTGAGCTGCTGTGGGGTGCGGCAGGAGCTCAGCTCCGAGGCTCTCCCTCTCCTCCACCCTCCAGTTAGGGGCACCTGCAGGGCAGTGGGGGGGAGCCCTGGGCCCCCCGTGCCGGGGTTCCTCCCGCACCTTCAGGAATACCAGCAGCACAGTCCTCCCTGAGTCCGAGCTGCAGAAAGACTCCTTTTGCTTGCTTGGTTTGGGGGCCACCCTGGCTCTGTGCTCTGGGGGTGCTCCTGGTGGGCTGTGTGGTAACAGAACCAGGAGGGCCCATGGGCAAAGCCTGCGCTCTGCCCACTGGGCATCCCCGCTCCTGCCTCTCCTTTTAAAACAGGGGCTATGGGGGCTGGAGGGATGGCACCGCGGGGAGGGCTCTTGTTTTGCACGTGGCCAGGCTGGGGCCGGTCCCCGACATCCCATATGGTCCCCTGCACCTTCGGGACTGATCCCTGAGTGCAGAGCCGGGAGTCAGCCCTTAGCAGCGCTGGGTGTGGCCCCGAACCAAAACCACAAAATAAATCAAATCAAATAGGGCCTCCATCTACCCGTAGAGGCTGGGGGAGGCTGCAGTGCCAGGGATGGAGCGTGGGAGGCTGCACCACGTCACACGAGTTGTTCTATCATGTGAACTTCTTCCGGGGGGGCCCTAGAGGAGGACTCCCTAATGCGAGAAGTTTCCATAGAATCGGAGCACTGGGGGCTGCGTCGCGCTGCTCCGTGGGACCCAGCTGGTGCTGGGAGCAGGGCGGTGAGCGACAGAGACACAGGGTGGGGACAGGCCAGGCTCCGGACCCCAAAGCCTCCTCACTCAGGTGCTCCTGGCAGGAACAGGGCCCAGCCCGGCCGGCCGCCAGCCTGCCCTTACCTGCTCCCCACTCCCAGGTCTGCCAGCAGCGGCGGGGGGTGGGTGGGGGTCTGGGGAAGGCGGGCCGGGGGCGGAGGAGGCGTGCAGGGGCACAGTGTGAGGACGGCTGTGTGAGCCCCCGTCCCTGTGCATCAGGCTCATTCCCACTCCCCCTCCCGCCCCCTCCTGGGCAGCACGCCCAGTTCCCAGACGCAGCCCAAGCACTTCCTCTGCACCACACGCCCGCGCCCCCAGAGGCACGGTCCACCTGGCGCCCCCCCCTCCGCAGGGCCCCCCAGGCCCACAGTCCTGAAAGGCCGCTCTTGTCCTCCCTGCCCTGGGGGAGGGCGGGTGCCGTGGAGCGGGGGATTGGGGACAGTTACCCTTGGTTCTCCGTTAGCTTTTTCAGCGTCTGTGAGAGCCGGCCCAGGGCCTGGCCCCTGCCCTATCAAAGGCAGGGCAGGGGCGGGCGGCGGGGGCCAGGCTCAGGCAGGGGGCAGCGGGCACACACCACTCCCTACGACAATCTCAGGCAGCGGGCAGCGGGCACACACCACTCCCTACGACAATCTCAGGCAGCAGACGGTCCCCGGGTTCAATCGCTTGCCCTGGAGGGTCATCCCTGGTCCCGCTGCCCCCCCCCCCCCCCCCCCCCGACCCCAGACTTCACCTTCCACTGTTCAACATCAGCTCTGCCAGGCCCGGTTTGTTTGGTTTTGTTTAGGGGCAACACCCAGCAGTGCTCAGGAATCACTCCTAGCGGGGCTCAGGGGACCAGAGGGGATGCCCGGGATGGATCCTGGGCCAGCCGCATGCAGGGCGACTGTCCTGCCTACTCACTGCACCGTCTCTCTGGCCCCGCTCTGCCAGGCTTGGGAGAGGAGTTGAACCACAGGCCTCCTGTCCGTGCTCCCTCTGGCCCCGGCTGTGCTCCACAATGCCCCACCCCCACGTGCCATCCTCCCTCTGCTGGCCTCACCGCTGGCTCAGAGGAGCGGGCACCATGCTCCTCATCTGTGTGACCCATGCCAAACCTGGGAGCTTGCCCAGAGAGGAGTGGGGCAGGGGGCTGTCACAGGGAATTGCGTCCTCCTTCCCTGCGAGACAGAAGTGCTTTGCTTCCTCCTGAGCCTCGATCCTCCCAGCTGAGCAATGGGACAGCGTTTGGGGCTCTCCGGCCTGGGACACTGGCACGCAGAGGGAAAGCGGGCTCGTGCAGCTTGAGAAGGGGGTTGTCCAGAAGGGGCCTTCCTTAGCTGGGAGGCTGAGCCAGGCCTGGCTAGAGGGGGGCTGCCCGGGAGGAGGCAGACCAACCCTTCTAGGCCCTCCGCCTTCCAAGCCCTCTGCCAAGGCAGGTTTTGCTGGACATGCCACGCCCACTGGCTCCATGTGGCTCTTTCCCGAAGGCCAGCAGGGCAGAGGCTGTGACTCTGGTTTGCCATTTAAGGCCTCTGAGCCCTGGTCCAGTGGCTCTTCCTGGCACCAGGCTACTGGCCTTCCCGCCTCAGTGCCCAGGCCCACCTCGGCCTTCTCTCTGTCCTGCCTGCAGTTCTGCCTCCTCCCTCCCTCCCATGTGGGGCGCTGCGGGGACCCCTGGGCCTGGCCTCCTCTCCACCCATCCTCTGCATCAGGAGCTTTGCAGGTGGGATAGAACCGTCATCGAAATCTTCATCTGCTTTGCGGCCTCCCCAAGGTCCCGTCCAGCCCCTCTGGGGCTCAGTGCCCCCAGAACACCTCACAGTCCGTGCTGGGGAGGTACAGAGACATGGGGGGGAGGAACGGGGGGGCTGCAGTCTCTCTACCCCCAGTCCCCGAGGCTCAGAGCAGGGGGTCCCTGGGGACTAGGCTCCCAGGGCTCCAGCTCTGACTCACCCTCATAGGAGGGGGGGGGTCCTTCCTTGACTCATTTCCCTTCTGGGCACCTCGTGATGCTGCCCATTAGAGCTGGCTGCTGCCCATCTGATGGGGAGCTGGGTGTGGCGGGGCCCAGGAAGGAGGCGGAGGCCCGGCCCCTGCCCCAGGCCGGGACCCAAGAAGGAGGTGTAGGCCTCCTCTGGGCTCTAGGCAATGGGTCTCTGATTCATCTGTCGTCACACAGGCCCTGGGGCCACCACTATTGTAGCCCAGCAAGGCCGTGTCCCCGCTCTGGGGCAGCCTCAGGAGGGCACTTCATTCAGCGCCTTCTGGGACAGGAGGTGTGGCCGGGTGGCCAGGCTGTTCCAGGGCCAGGCGCCCTGCCTCTGGGAGGCTGGGGAGAGGAAGGGTCATTCGGCACCCAGCAGGCCCCTCCAGTGAGGGGGAGGCCAGTGAAATGCACCCCGAAGAGGAGAGGGTGCGTGGGTGGAGTTGGGGTGCAGTCGGAGGTGGGTGCTTTAAGGCGGGGGCCTCCTTAAAGGGGGTCTTCTCTCCGTTCCTCTCCTCCTGGCCCTTCCCCTCCCTAGCGTGGGGGTCTGGGTGGGAGGGGTGCTTCTCGGGGCGACGCTGCCCTGCCCTTCGGTCTCCCAGGTGCTGAAGCTCAGAGGCCAACGGGGCGCCCGGCTGCTCCGAGCTGCCAAACACCCCAGACAACGTACCCCCAGGTCCCACCTTAAGTGACTGGCACACCCAGACAGGAGTGGTTGGGGGTCCCTGAGCACCCTCTGGGGAGGCAGCCCCGCCAGGACCCTCCCCTCCGCCCACCCGCCCACCCCACCAGGAGCGCTGGTTCCTGGGTCCTGCTCTCACTCACCTGCGGACGCGGACTCCAGGGTGGCCCACAGCGCCAAGGTCACCGCCAGGGCCAGGGCAGGCGCGCGTGGCCCGGACCGCCGGCCACAGCGCATCGCGGCGGGCTGGGCAGCGAGTCGGAGGAGCCTGGACGGCAGAGCGGCCAGTGGAGGGCGGCGCTGGCGCGGGCTGTGGCACCGGGTGTCCCGCGGCCAGTCTTAACTCGGGGGGCGGGGCTGCGCTCTGGTTTCAGGCTGGGGCTCCCCCATCCCCACCCCACCCCCCACCTTCTTAAAGGGCCCCTACTGGGCCGCCCCGGCCGTGGCGGGGTGCAGGGCGCTCAGAAGGGGTCAGTCCCACGCTGGACATCGAGGGTCCAGTCCCGCGGGGGCCCAGCTCTAAAGAGCCCTGACCCCAAGGGCCCCTCCGGCCACCACCAGCCCCCCCTTCTCTGCCTTCTGCCCTTCCAAGAGGGGCTGGGAGGGGTCTGCCCCAGGGCTGCCGCCCACCAGTGTTCGCAGAGAGGCACCAGCCCCACAGCCGTCGTGACTGTCCCCCAGCCTCCCAAGAGGACCCTGATCTGTGACCGGCAGGGCCTCAGTTTCCCAGTCTGTAAAGGAGGCGAGACCAGGACACTCAGCCTCCAGGCAGGAAGAAACTCCGCTCCGTGGCCTCAGTTTGCCTAAGTCTGCCAGGCCGGGGAGGGTCATTCTTCACCAGCCTCACCAGCTTTTACAGCGGAAACTGTAGCTCAGAGCCCCCAGGTGGGGCCAGCGGGCTCCAGCCTCAGCTCCACGGCTGGCTGGCTGGGAATCGCGCGTCCCGGGGCTGCCTTCCGGAATCTGGCCCTGGATTTAGCTCCTACCTAACAGCTTCAAGCTGGGGCCCTTCTCCGGCTTGGCTCCCTCCCAGACGACATCAGCCCGTCCCAAACAGGAGGAGAAAGGGTGATATTATTGCCGAAGACTCTGCCTGCCCTCCGCCTCGCCCCACTGCAGCCGGGCCTGGCCTCGCCTTCTGGGTTCTGCGAGGAGGTGCAAGGGCACCCCAGGAATGCGCTCCTCTCCCTTCTCTCGCCAAAGGCTCTGTGCCACCCAGCCCTTCCCTTCTCCCCCTTCTGCCCTCCAGAGCTGTGGGGAGGGGCCGGACACCCACCCGGGTTCTAATACCAGGTATATGGGCCCCGAGCCCTGCCAGGAGGGACCCCCTGGGCCTCAAGCCAGGAGTAAGCCCTGAGCGCTGCTGGGTGTGGCCCCCAAATAAAATTACAAAACAAATCGTTGGTGAGAGGGTCTGCCCAGTCTGGAGGAGGAAGGACAGAAGCCCCTGGGGGTTTCAGCCCCCGCCTCATTCTTCAGCCCTCCTTCTGCCCCACGTGGGGAGTCAGCTCAAGGGACACTCCACTCTCAGTGACACCCAGTCTGCTGAGCACACGTCCCGGGAGCAGTCCCTGAGCAGCGCTGGGTGTGACCCCCAAACAAAGCGAACAGCATCCCCTCCCATGGGCACACAGGAGCCCACTGAGTGGATGAGGAAACTGAGTTAGCCACTCTAGCCCGGGGCTTGGAGGCGAAACCAGGCCTTTTGTTTTGGGGGGCCAAATCTGGTGGTGCTCAGGGGACCCTGCAGGGATTGGACCCAGGTCCCTGCGTGCACGGCAGGTGCTCCAGCCCCTCAGCCAGTCCAGCCCCAGCCCCCAGCCAGGTTCTTTTATACGACCTGAGTTCAATTCCTCCGCCCCTTTCGAAGAGCCCGGCAAGCTACTGGGAGTATCTCACCCACACGGCAAAGCCTGGCAAGCTACCCGTGACGTATTCGATATGCCAAACAAGTCTCAATGTTACTGGGCCCGCTTGAGCAAATCGATGAACAACGGGAGGACAGTGACAGTGACAGTGACTTATTTAAGTTTTTGGTCTTGGACCAAACCTGGCGATGCTCAGGGGTTACTCCTGGCTCTGGACTCACTACTCAGGGATCACTCCTGGGGGGTCTTGGGGGGACCACATGGGCTGCCGGGGATCAAACATGGATCAGCCACATGCAAGGCAAGCAGGTGCCCTTCAGATGTACTATCACTCTGCCCACCCTTTATTTATTTATTCATTTTGGCCTTTTGGGTCACACCTGGTGAAGCTCAGGGGTTAGTCCTGGCTCTGCACTCAGGAATCACTCCTGGTGGTGCTCAGGGGACCATATGGGATGCTGGGGATCAAACCCAGGTCAGCTGTGTACAGGCAAACACGCAGCCTGTTGTACTATTACTCTGGCCCCTCTGCTCCCTGTTTATAATTTTAACTTTATTATTATTTCAAGGGCCTCCCCTGTCTGGGTGTTGGGGGAGCCCGGGGTCAGTCCTGGTGATCTTCCAGGAGGTGGAGGCCTGGCGGCTTAGTAGGGCTGGCCCTGGTGGTGCTGGGGCCGTGCAGGGCTTTGTGCATGCCAGCCATGCTGCCCCAGCTCTCCGCGCTCTCTCCCTGCACCTGGCACAGGTCTCTGGCGCCAGCCCGCTGTGAGAGTGTGGAAGTGTGTGGTAGCGAGCCCTGCAGACCCGAGTCCAGCTCCCCGTTCTACTTGGCGCCCGACCCTGAGCAAGTCACTCCATCTCTCTGTGTAAGACTGGGTGTGTAGGGGAGACTGGAGAGACAGCACAGTGGGGAGGGCGTTTGCCTTGCATGCGGCCGACCCAGGTTCGATTCCCAGCATCCCATATGGTCCCCCAGGCACAGCCAGGAGTAATTCCTAAGTGCAGAGCCAGGAGTAATCCCTGAGCATTGCCGGGTGTGGCCAAAACAAAACAAAACTGGGTTTGTAGGGGGTGTTGGAGCAACAGCACAGTGAGGAGGGCACTTGCCTTGCATGACCACCCATGTGATCCCCGGCACCCCATGATCCTTCGAGCACATCCAGGATGAGTGCAGAGTTAGGAGTAAACTTTGAGCATCACTGAGTGTGGCCCCAACACCAAAACAACAACAAAAAGGAAGAAAAAAAAACCCCAAAAAACCAACCAAGCAAATCAACCAACCAAATAAACAAAATACCCCAAAGCAAAACAAAAGAACACCCCCAAGCCCCACAAAAACACTGTTTGTGGTCTCCAAGTGCCTGGCCCCCCCGCCGCCATGTAGCAGGCACTGCCTCCTGCCTCCTCATGCTTGTCCCACACGTGCTCAGTTTGTGCACAGCTTTGACTCACCCCTCCATTAAGGGAAAGTTCTGCCTTCTGAGGGCTGAACTTTTGCACACAGTAGGCGCTACATAAATGCATGCTGGATGAACTCAGAAACCACTGACTGTGCCAGGGGCTTCCCTGAGGGGGCCTGGGGTGAGCTGAGCCCTTGACCCTCCCCCACCCATCCCAAGCTTTCCGCTCCCCCCTAGCAGGGAGGCGCCTGGTCCTTGTTAGGGGCTAATTACTGGCCCAGTGTGGGCCCAGGGCGTGTGAGGGGAAGCCTTCTTTTTAGGAATGAAAGGGAGGGACTAGGAGTCCGCTTTCTTTTTTTATGAATCAACACAGACAGCTCCTAGCCACTTCCCACCAGTCCCATCTGCTCCTCTCCCCCCCTTCCTCCCTCCCTCTCTCCCTCCCTCTCCTCCCTCTCTCCCTCTATCACTTCCTTCCCTTCTCAGCTCTCCCTCCGGGTCCCCACCCCCACACACTCACACTACTGAGAGCCCGCAGACCGCAGAGTTCCCGCCCAGAGCCGAGCCAAGAGAAGTCGGGGCTCAATGCACACAGTCACCCCCCCCCCCCGCCCCCCATCCCCCACCGCCCCGCCTTGTTGCTAGCAGAGCAGAGAAACATGGCAACCGGCCTTACCGGGAGCTTCTCTCTCCATAAGCCACTCTCGCTGAGGCCTGCCGCCTTCCCGGTTTACAAAACACTCACCAGCTCTCTTGACAACCCTGGAAAGTGTGTGTGTGTGTGTGTGTGTGTGTGTGTGTGTGTGTGTGTGTGTGTTTGGCGATGACTATGTCCCCATTTCACTGATGAAGACAGTGAGGTTCTCAGTGGTTGGGGCTTGGTTGGTGCAGGACTTGAACCCTGGACCAGGGCTGAGGACTGTCCTGACCGGAAGTGCTGGAAGAAAGTTGGGGCCCTAGGGGGAGGGAAAGTGGGGAGGACCCTTGCCTTGCACGCGGCCAACCCAGGTTCAATTCCCGGCATCCCATATGGTCCCCTGAGCACTGACAGGAGTGATTCCTGAGTGCAAAGCCAGGAGAAGGAGGAGCTCTGAGAATCGCATAGCTGGGTGTGACCCTCAAACTGGGGGGGGGGGGGAGAGATAGAGGAGAGAGAGACAGAGAGACAGAGAGAGACAGAGACTGAGACAGAGAGAGAGAGAGAGAGAGCTTGTGCCCTTTGGTGCTTTGCAAACTCTCCTGTCTCTGGCCAGAGGCAGTTGGTGTGAGCTGAGTCTTCTACGCTGGCTGCTCCCAGACTCTCCAGGACGCTCCCCCAGCACCTGGAGGCCCGAAGCTCCGTCCTGAGCGAAGGCAGCCAGGCCTCCCTGCAGCCTCAAGCCAGCCCTGACCTTCTCTTGCTGCCTTCTGACCTTTGCCATGCTTTCCCTTTGTGTGGCCTGCTTAGGCGTCGCTGGGGACCATTCCTGACTGTCCTTGCCTCTCTGGCTTCTGTCCCTTTCCTCCAGGAAGCCCTCAGGCCTCCCTCCCACTATGAGCTCCCTATCCGCCTCCCCCGGGTACTGTCCACCCAGCTGGACCGGCAGGGGCCGGGTGAGCCCTCTGCATGCCCAGGCCTCCAGCCCCAGTGCTTCTCAGCAGAATGGGGATGGAACAGAGGAGGGTGCTCACGCCCAGGAGTGCGGGAGGGTTGGGAGGCGACCATGGCCCTCACTGTGTGCTGCCTCAGTTTCTCCAAAGATCTGGCTGGGGGTTGGGGGACGAAGGCAACGCGGACACCAGTGTCACCCAGCAGGCTTGGCTCACTCACTTTTCCCCGCTAGTCACTTTTCCCCTCGATGTCCGCTCTGGCAGGGGCTGGGCCTCTGTTCTGCCCTTGGCCTGGCACCCAGATTGCCGCTGTGTTTTGTACCCTGGCTGCCGTGCCCCACCCGGGAGGCCCAGCCAATGCCAGCTTGTGGGTAAGTGATGGGTCCTTGTGCCCAGAGGGGCGGTGCCCGAGATGGCCTGCGTCCTCAGGGAACTGACT